GTCTCTAAGGTGGTATATTTTTATGGAAGCAGATTGCCTCACCCCTTCCTTCCAAGCGAGGAGCAGCTGGTGGGTATGAACCACCACCTTCTGGTTAGTAGTCAAATGCCTTAGGCACTGAGCCACCTGCAAAGAAGTCCTTTATGGTGCCTAAGTACTACATATAATTAAATTCTTACATATCCCTAGGCAATGTTTATTTGGTACTCACAGCAGTCATGTCACTTGCATTTTCCTGTTTGTTTAATTCCCGAGGTCCATCTCCTTGCTCTCCCCCTGGACCAATAATATTATTCAGATGTGCCTTGATAGATGAATTCTGCAGTGTCAGTTCAGCAATTCGTGCCATTATGTCCTTTCTTTGTTTCAGGACCTCATTTGTTCTAAGCTGCTGCCCATCTCCCAGTACCGGGGGCTCTTCTGAGAACATGGGGTTTCTTGACTGCTGAGTATTTGGATAGGAACTGCAGAGGGGCTGCGATGGGTTAACAAAAGGAGCCTGGTTTTTGTTCTCCATATCTTCTCCCATGTGAGAAACCCTCCACCTCTGAGTGAAGAGACGGTTCTCTTCATTTGAATTCTGAATGTCTGCTCCAGGAGGTAAGGGCTTCTTTTGCCAATTTTGTTCCTTCTCAATTATTTCCACCGTTGGAGGAATGCGTGGAGCAGGACGAGTTTCAACAGTTCTCCTCAATACTGTAAATAAGATTTAAGAAATGATTTTATAAATATGTATTATTTTCCCATAGATTGGTAATAAAATTGCCTCATTAACCCATTTTCATTAAGTTACAGAAGTATTTCAATTAAAGGATTTGCTGTCTAGAATACCTAAAGTATTTTCAACAGGGCATATACAAGAAAAGCCAACCTCAACAATCAAGTGCATGGATTTTTAATATTCCTTAAAGTATTTGTCAGTAACCTTGTAAAAAGCCATCTTTCAAGTTCTCATTTTAACACATACATTAAACTCATAATTGGGAATCTTGTGGTGGGAGTGTCAGTATCTAAAGGCCCCTCTGTGGAAGAAAAATTTAAACATGATTAAACATATGGCAGAAAGTAGACCAAAAGACATTATAGGCAAGGGAATAACTTACATGGAAGTTTTAAAACAGGAAAGAGCAAAACAAATGAGGCCAGTCTAGCTGGAGCACAGCAATGAGGGGAGGACTGGAACAAGCCAAGTGGGGCTGGTGTGTGCGGGGCCATTTCTTGCTAAGGCTTTTAGGCCATATTAGGAATTTTATAACTTAATCTAAGAGCTATGAAATCTCTAAAAGATTTGGCAACAATTTTGATTTACATTTGAAAAATATTACTCTGGCTATGGATAATTAGAAAGTGGCAGGAATGGAAGTAGAAGACCAGTAAACAATTGCAGTAGTCTAAAAGAAACATGATAGTAGCTTTGACCAAAGTATACTGGCAATAGAGATAGAGAGAAGTAACAGATTTGAGAAATATTTTGGTGATGAACTAAGAGTGATGAACTGGAAGTGGGGTAGAGGGAAACATACAAACCAACCTGGCATAAACACCTGAGTCAATGACCCCATTTACTGAGTTGGAGAAGAAAAGAAAAAGAACAGAGTTTTGGGCAAGGAGGTTATGAAGAATTCAGTTTTGATTATGCTAAATTTAAATGCCTTATGATTCATCCATGTATCCACCCAAATGCAGAGTAACTCAAGCAGATGGATATATGGGTCAGAAATTCAAGAGATATTTGCATTAACATACAAAACTAGAAGTCACTGGCATATAGAATGTACTGGAGGCTATGAAAATAAATGAAATTATCTAAAAGAGAGGAGGGAGAAAAGGAAAGAAACCAGTACCAAGACATGAGGAACTCAACATTTAGGATCAGGTAAAGAAGAAAAGTTAGCAAGGTAGACTGAAATGGAACAGCCAGAGAAATAAGAGAAATACTACAGCAAAGTAATCTTGAAAGAAAGTATTAAAGAAATAAAAAGAAGAGATTGTTTCACAAGAGAGGGAGCGATCAATTATGTGTAATGCTACTGTAAGATCTGATAAGGTAAAGACAGAAAAATGTACACAGTATTAGTAATATGGTGGTCACTGGAGCCTTTAGCAAGAGTGGTTTAGGTGGAATTATAAAGAGTAACTTGGGAGGGAGGATGCTTCTAGTTCAAATCAGCAGACTCAACACACATTTGCCTTCCCTCCTCCTACTAAAACAAGTAAGAAGCATAAGAGTAAAGAGAGTGGTCTGGGAAGAGTCTTTAGCAAATGTAGTATTTCAACAAATTTCTGGAAGTCAGAATGGATGGGAAGCATGTGAAAGCCACAGACCAAAACATGTAAATACCAGGGCTTCAAACTGGTTCAAAACAGTTCAGTCATGGTATACATGTTTCTCTTGTGCTGGGGGTTTTAACCCAAGTAGGAAACAGGTGTTGGCATTCTGCTCAAAGATGGTGGCCAACTGTACCGTTCTGATTATGTGTCTAACCCTCAGCCTAACACTGTCTCCACTACTGGACTGATCTGACAGACCTGACATTTGCATTATAAATCCAAACTAAACTTTGTAATAGTAAGGTGGTGTCATTTTCTTCAACCCTTTATGGTTCTTCATGGCCTGTATTGTAAATATACATCAAAGTGCACAAAATCTGACAAAATGTTTATACCCCAATGACAAGTTACTTTTCTGTTTCCCTATATAAGAGTATTCAATGGGAGGGAAGGACACAGGATGGAAGGGAAGGACACAGGAAAGAGGTGGCTATGGGGAGGAAGTAGAAGGAGAGCTGTTGCATTGTGGAGATTACAGTCAATGTCATGAGACAAAGTGTATGTGAACTGCTATATGGAAGATGAATTTGCTCTTTAAACTTTCACCCAAATCACAATAAAATTAAAAAAAAAAAAGAGTATCCAAAAATCTTTTTAAAGAAATAAAAATTCAGGCAAATCAAGGCCAAATGATATTTTTCTAAAAGTTTTAGAGAAGAATGTTCTTAACTTTTTTGATTGAAGAATTCTTTTTAAAATCACTTGAAAGGAAAATGCACATACAGAAAAATAAATGTAATCTTCCAATCAGTGAAGCAGCCTATGAACTTTCTGAAGATCTGAGCTAAAGATAATGAAATATGATTCTAAAGCTATTTTTATTTTTTTTCCACATCATTCATTATAAAATTACCTCAACTGATTTGAAAAATTTTGATGAGAAAGAGGTTAATAGGATGACCAGATCTGACTTATAAAATCCTTAAAGTCACAGTGCTCACCTTTCTTTGGTAGAACTTTCATTATTCTCTGGAGATAGTCTCCTCTTGTTTTTCTTACTCCTTTATAAACACCCCGGAACATAAGCACAAAGGGGATTCCCCTTACTCTGTCTGCATCTTAATGATAAAAACTTTGATCCTTTGATCAGAGTTTAATATTTACAATGAAACAGATATATAATGAAATTCAATGTCACACTTCACTGAAGGTACAATGTACATTATACAAACCACCCTGAAAATTCCTCCTTCAGCTTCAACGTTCTGTGTGGTTAATCAATGTCTTTCTAAATTTTCCTTATCAAGTTAACAATGAACACAATAAATCACATATATAAAGCATAAAAAACAACTACCTTATAACTTTGGAAGAAGCCTGCTTACCATCCTGCGGAGGAGAGAATTCTGAGTTGCTCTTTTGCCTGGGTGGTGTTAACAACACAGCTGGCTCAAATATGGGTGCTGGAAAACTATTGGCCAGAGTCACACTATCTGGAGGGTTTGGCACCTGAGACAGTTTAACAGGTAGCTCCTCCTGTGGTAATTCAACCACTTCTTCCCCTCTGAACATCAATGGCACGGAGACATTAGTGTTTACAACTGGACCCTCTGAAGAAGATGAGAGGCTATTAGTACTTAAGAAACAAAAAGGGACTATGGGCACATTTCAGGCAGTCATGCTTATATGCATTTCAGTAAAGTACAAGATCCACATAACCCCTAGAGCCAATAATTCATATTTGAAGCTCATGTGGAGACAGCACTGAGAAGAACTTGTTACCTTTAAGAAAAGCACTGAGGATCCCAAAGCTATAAAAATCAAGGACTCTGAAAAGCCACTTTGGGACTCCTAAGAATTCTTACCTGGCACTTAAGAATTTTCCATTATTTGTTATGGACAGCTTTCTAACAATCATGACAAAAAACAAACTGGCAAGAATAAGCCATATTAACCCACTACTTCTGCTCTGGTGGCATAGTTCCTGAGGCATTTGACTGCTAACCAGAAGGCTGGCAGTTTAAACCCACCACCCTCCTCAGAAGAAAGATTGAGTAATCTACTTCTGTAGAGATACCGCCTCAGAAACCCAAGGAGGGGTTGCTATGAGTCAGATCCAACTTGATGGCAGTGAGTTTGGTTTTTTTGGTATTCCATATACAAGGCTTACTATAAAACAAGGTAATTTCACAAGTCATGCATCATCATAGAATAGTCACAGTCCCTTTTACTTAAAAAAGGTTACAAGATCTGAGACTCAGTGTCTTGGTTCTCTAGTGCTGCTATTAACAGAAACACAAGTGGATGGCTTTAACAAACAGAAATTTATTTTCTCACAGTTGAGGAGGTTAGAAGTCTCAATTCAGAGCACGAGCTCTAGAGGAAACCTTCTCTCTCTGTTGACTCTGGAGGAAGGTCCTCGTCTCTTTAGCTTCTGTTTCCTGGCTTCTTGGAGATCTCCATGTGTCATGGCATCTGTCTTACCCCATCTTGCCTCTGCTTGCTTTTTAAATCTCTTTTATATCTCAAAAAGAGATTGATTCAAGATACACCCTATACTAATACCGCCTCATTACCATAACAAAGACAACCCATTTCTAAATGAAATTATAACCACAGGCAGAAGTTAGAATTTACAGCACATATTTCACGGGGACATAATACAATCCATACTAGTCAGGAAGACACTCACTTGGCTTCACCTACATAAATGTTTCTCATTTTTTTAATAGGCAATAACAATAACAATAACCTTAAAATACACTCACTCTCAGCTCTTCTCATCTATAAAGCCATTGCCATCGAGTCAATTCTGACTCAGAGTGGCCCCATGTGTACAGAGTAGAATTGTTCCGTAGGGTTTTCCTGACTACAATCTTTACAGAAGCAGATCATCAGGCATTCCTTCCACACTGGGTAGATTCGTATCACCAAACTTTAGGTTAGTAGTCAAGTGTAAACTGAGCACACTACCCAGGGGCCTTCTATAACTAAAAATTTTCTCAGTAGTGAAGCATAACTCAGTTAAGAATAAAGCACTGATATACTCCTTGACTGAGATATTAATAGTGAGTCTCCTCCAGAAGAAGGTAGAGACCTGCTCCAATCACTGAGTTTACCTCATGCTTATTAAATTTCAGTCAGCTGCTTGCTACTTCTTAGAATCCATCTTAAGAAATCATTCCTAAATATACAAAGCACTTTCCACACAGACACTCATCAAAGTATTAAACATTTAAAACACAGAGTAAAAAACATGAAAAAGCCTAAATGTCCTATTCAGTCTAAGGCCCATGATGGCATGCAATGTAAAGAAAGGATTTCAAAACTACATCACCAGAATGAATAAAAGTTAAGAGTTTCTAAAATTCAGAACACTTTTTCTTTCCCAAGCCATCTATTCTGCTGAACCTAGGGCACAGCACCATGATTAGTACTGGCCCTACAGGCACAGTGCTCTATGCAGCCGATTCTGCTACTTTCTATCTGCGTGCCTTTGGTAAGTTACCAACCCCTCTAAGCCTCAGTTTTCTCATCTAAACCATGGAGATAACAATAATACCTACCTCATAAGACTATTATGGAAATTAAATCAGATAATACATGTACCAAAAAAAAACCACACTGCCATTGAGTTGGATCTGACTCATAGTGACCCCTCCTTGGGTTTTTGAGGCAGTATCACTACAGAAGTAGATTGCTCAACCTTTCTTCCAAGGAGTGGCTGATGGGTTTGAACTGTTAGGCTTCTGGTTAGCAGTCTAATGCCTTAGGCACTACACCACCAGAGCTCCTTATAATACATGTAAAGCATTTAAAAAGTACCCAGCATATACTGAGTATCCAATAAATATAAGCTGGAAATAGCAGGGGCAATTACAGTAGTGATAATATTGTATATGCATAAACAACCAGTATAACTCCATATAAGTTCAGGGCTTTGTTTTACTGTTTATTCTAACTCAAAGTCTGGAATAATAAAACCACACTCACCTGGATTGTCCATAATTCTTCGACTTATGGCTCCCCTTTCTGATACTTGATTTTCTTCTCTGCTCTTCTCTATCACAGGACAATTCTTGATGGCATGTGTGAGTGATATAATCTGTTCATCTGTTGTGACCATGTACTGCTGAAGTCTTGCCTAGAGAAAAAAAAATGAAATAACATTATCAGAATATCAGATACCAAACTATGACCTAGAAAGCAAACCATACAAAGAAATATAATGATATCATTATTTTAAAAACTATAGGAATTTCAGACTTCCAATCAAATTCTTTAAAAAATGCTATTCACGGTAATAAACAATTAGAAATAATCTAAAAGTCCCATGATGGAGGAACAATCAAGGAAATCATAAAAAAACAAGTAAAACCATAGAACATTATTAATTAATAAAGTAGACTGCTACAATATGAGCTGTTTTTATAGGGCTTGCTATTTACAAAACCCTTCATACAGATGATTTCAACTGACACAGCAATGTTTATATACGTGCACACGTGTACACAAATACATGTAAAACAAACTTTACTACCAACTCCAATACGTCCCTGGGCGGCACAAATGATTTATACTTGATTATCAACCTAAAGTTTAGCAGCTCAAACCCACTCAGTGGCACCATGAAACAAAGGCCTGGCAATGTGCTTCCATAAAGATTACAGCCAAGAAAATCCCACGGACTTCTATAACACAAGTGGTCACCGTAAGTCATAGCTATATAGGCACAGATGCATAGATGTAAAGACATATATAAAAATCAGGTGTAGCAAGAAGGAAGAATATTATTAGTAGGTACTGCTAAATGAAGCATACTATATATTTTATATTTCCAGTCCAATTTTTTTCCTTAAATCCATACTCATATATCCAATGGCCTACTCAATTATCTCTTTCAGAACTAAATGAGCCTTCTCAAAGTAAAATATCCAAGATGAAACTTCTCCTGAAGTCTTCCCTACTCAGTAATAGCAAATCCATCCTTTTAAGTGCTCAGGCCACAAACTTTAGAATCACCTTTGACCTTTCTCTTTCTCCCACATACTGTACCTGATCCATCAGCAAATCCCACTGATCTTCTGTGTCTGACCATTTGTTTGCTGAGGCATGTTGGCATGCTAGAGTGAACTCACAGCAGCATCACAGGACATTTTACATTTTCAAGGGAAACAATGATATGTGACTCTGTTAGACATGGGAGGACTACTAGCTCTAGATGGTTCAGATTCAACATTAGACCATTCTACAATTCCTTTAGATAATGTCACCTCTTCATGAAGCTAGGTTTCAGCAATTGCTATGCTAAAAATCAAGGACTACATGAAAAGCAATGTGGAACAGGAAATAAGAGTGATGGTGTCCAACATGACTCCCAACTTGAAGAAGCTGTATAATGCCCAACAGGAACAGATACCTCACTAGATGTCTGAGGTTATTTAAGAATGAAACTAAAATATTACTTTTTCTTTTAATGTGTATGTAATATTTTTTCAAATAGCTACTAAATTGTTAAGACATGAATACTTACCTAGTTGTGTGGACCTAACTGCTTAATATATGGAAGTATTAGGTATTTCTTTTGGTTCAGGTGCTTTGAGACCCTAAGGGTACCATGAACTGAGAAAGGTGGCAATCTTTGATCTAATCTCAACATAACATCCCAGAGTGATCTTCTTAAAAACCTATGTGAAATGCAGGAAGAGAAGGGCTTGAAGGCATTTGCCAGTTGCCACATGGCCTGTACTTCTAGATCCGTGCAAAGAGGGCCAAGGAGGTCCGAGAGCAGAAAGTGGAGAAGAAAAAGTATATCTCTGTCAGAACTTTTCATAAAATAGTAGTAAAGCCTCTCCTTTCAAAAAACAAAAACATAAGTGAGAACACATCTGTTCTCTGCTCAAAAGCCTTCACTAGCTTCCCAGCTCACTCAGAGTAAAAGCCCAAGTCCTTGCCCAGTTTTGTAAGGCCCTGATCTTGTTTCTTGTGACCCTCTGCTTCCCACACTGCACTCCTGCTCATGGTCTCCTTCATGGATTTGAGCTCTCCAGGTTTTGCTCCCACTTCAAGACTTTTGCACTTGCTGTTTCCTCTCCTTGACTGCCATCTGCCTGCTGACTGACTCCCTCATCTTCTTCCCTCTTTATGCAAATGTTACTTTCTCAGAGACCCGTGGTCCACCAATTTACAACTGCATCCCCCCACCCTGGAAATTCCCTGCTTTATTTTTCTTTATAGCACATATCATCATGTAACTTACTATATATTTCACTTTTATTTTTAATGCATTTTATTGAAATATAATTTATATACACTGAAATATATAAAACTAAAGTGAAATGGGTCAATGCTTTTTTTTTTTTTTTTTCCCCAGTGTTCCCTCCCCTCCCCTTCTACCCCTGGTAACCAACAAACAAAGTTTCCTTCCATAGAAAAACTTTTCCTTGACTTTTTACAATAATGGACTAATACTATATTTGTCCTTCTGTGATTGACTTACCTTCATTCAGCATAATGTCCTCCAAGTTCATCCATGTTATGCTGTGTTTTGCAGATTCTCCATTATTCTTTAGTGTTGCATAGTATTCTATTGTGTGTATGTACATAGTATGGTAATCCATTCTTCTGTTGATGGGCACATAGGTTGTTTCCATCTTTTTGCTATTGTAAATAGTGCTGTGATGAACATGGGTGTGCATATATCTGTTCTTCTCCTGGCTGTCACTTCTTTAGGATATATACCTAATAAAGGCATGGCTGGGTCAAATGGTATTTCTAATTCCAGCTTTTTAAGTAATCGCCATATTGTTTTCCACAGTGGTTGTATCATTTTACAGTCCCACCAGCAGTGTATAAGAGTCCCAATCTCTCCAGATTCTCACCAGCATTTCTTATTTTCTGTCTTGTTGAACTTTGCCATTAGTGCTGGGGTGAGATGGTATCTCATTGTTGTTTTGATTTGCATCTCTCTGATTGTTCTAGGGTTTTCTCTGTGTTTTCCTCAATTTAGTCAGTGTTTTCCTTGATCTGTCTCTCAATTTGTTGATGATACCTAAGTATAATTCTTTTGAATTCCTTATCAGGGAGTTCCAATGCTACATCTTCCTCAGGGATGTGTTTTGGATCTGTATCCTGGTCCTACACTTCCCCTGCTTTATCAGCTTCTTTGTGTGGATTGTGATGCTCTGTTGTCTCCAAGGCATTGCAATGTTTTTGTATTTACATTTAATTGGTGATTTTATGCTGAAGTGACTTGCCCAAGGTTTTAGTTTTCTCTGTTTTGTTTGTATGTATCTACATAAACAGGGTACTCCGCTGTCCTCCTCTGTTCGCTAGTTGGCAGCACTTACACACTCACCACCTGTCTCCTTTCCCATTGTCAGCCTCCTATATGTCCCTATTGTCCTTGACAAATGGAGCCTGTTCTTAGGTCTCTGGAATCCGAATGAGAATGCTGTCACTTTAAAATCCAAAATGGCTACCTACTGTAAACATTTTAAATGGCTACACCCTCGATCACATTAAATATCAAAAATGGCCGCTGCTTGTAAACGTTCAAAATGGCTGTGCCCTCTGGACAGCCAAAAGTCCACAGCTGAGGTTGTTTCCCTCCTTGCTGTTTCCCTTCATAGTCTTAGGCCACCAGCACAGTCATCCCTGCAGCCCTTGGTGACCAAAGCTGATCTTTAGGTCAATTCTCAGGTCCCAATACCACTTGGAAATATTCAGACTGTTGGTCCCATCACAGTAGCTGACAGTCCACTGCTCTGACTGTCTCTGTACTCACTGTTTTCGTTCAGGTTTTTCCACTAGTTGGTGCCTAATCCACTTCTGCCTACTTCCTTTCAAAGTTCAGGGTTCCAGGATTATCTTCTGTATCTCTGTCAATTGGTTTCTCTTTTCTTTGTTGAAAAGGGTCTGTATAGCTTGTCTGTCTATTCTACCATCTTATAAGATGTCTCTGTATTTCACTTTTTTAAAAAAATAATTTAGAATGTAAGATTCATAAGGGCAAGGATTTTTATATCTCACTCACTTCTGTATTTCCTGACCTGGGACTGTGCCAGGTCAGAGTAGGTATTCAAATCAGATTTGTTGAATGAATTAGCACATTTAAAAATTGCCTGTCTTCTCAAGAGAATTGAAAACGAATGTTCACACAAAAACTTGTACACAAATATTCATAGCAGCATTACAAATAGCCAAAAAAAGGAAGTAACCCAAATGACCCCAAATAATGAAGGAACAAATAAAACGTGATATATGCACATAATGAAATGTTCATACAGCCATAATAAGAAGTGAAGTACTGATACATGCTACAACATTATGTTAAGTGGAAGAAGCCATACACAAACAACTACACATTGTATAATCCCACTGCCATGAAATATCTAGAATGGGGAAATCCACAGAGACAGAAAGTAGATTACTAATTTCCAGAGAGAAGGGAAAATGGGCAGTGACTGCTAAAGACTATGGAGTTTTTTTCTGAGGTTTTGAAAATGATCTGAAATTAGATAATGGTGATGGCTACATAAGGAGCCCTGGTGGCACAGTGGTTAAGCACTCAGCTGCTAACTGAAAGGTCAGGAATTCAAACCCACCAGCCACTGCATAGAAAGATGAGGCAGTCTGCTTCCATAAAGATTCCAAAACCAAACCAAATCCACTGTCATCAAGTTGATTCCAACTCATAGCAACCCCCATTGGGTTTCCAAGGCTGCAAATCTTTAGAGAAGTAGATTGCTTCATCTTCTTCCTGCAGAGCAGGTGATGGGTTTGAACCACCAACCTCTGGTTAGCAGCCAAATCTCTTACCCACTACACTACCAGAGCTCCTTTCTATAAAGATTGTTGTTGTTGTTATGTGCCATTGAGTCGGACCCGACTCACAGCGACCCCTCCTTGGGTTTCCGAGGCAGTATCACTATGGAAGTAGATTGCCCAACCTTCCTTCCGAGGAGTAACTGGTGGCTTTGAACCACAGCCTTCTGGTTAGCAGTCAAGTACCTTAGGCACTACGCTACCAGAGCTCCTTCCATAAAGATTACAGCCTAGGAAACCCTATGGGGTGTTTCTACTGTGTCCTATAAATTGCTGTGAGTCAGAATCAACTTGATGGCTGAGGTGCAATGAATTACTTGGTAAGGCTTCTCTACCCATAGTCTCTGTAACTCCCACCAGATTACTGGGTGGAACCATGCAAATAAGGTGTGTAGAACTCTGATGTTAGGATTGGTGAGTTCTGTCATTCTGCCAGGCTAAAATGAGCCCTCCTGAAGGTAGAAATGGGGATCTCACTGTAATCAAGAGAGGAGAGATGGAGGTGAAGTAGACTGTGTCCTTGGACCCAAGATCCCCGCACTGAACCTCCTTGGCAGAGACACCCTGCAGTGAGAGAAGCCCACCAGAGAGAGACACCCAGCTGAGAGAGACTCCCAGCTGAGAGAGATGCCCAGCAGAGAAATGGCTGCAGTGGAACCAAGAAGCACAAGACAGAGCAACTGGCTTACCTGGCCATGGAGCAAGAAATGTGAAGGCCCTTGGGCAGGAGGTTTGCTGGCAGAGTGGGGTGCACGTAGGTGTACCTATTGGCAGAGCTAAAAGAGCTTTGTAACACTTGTCTAAGCTGGGCAGAGGCTAGGCCAAAAGACCAAGGACCAGAGAGGTATGTCTGAGGGCACAGCAGAAAGACTGTTATGATCAAAGAACTGTATTTTGAGTGTGTTCCTGAAACTGAATTACAGCCTATTACTTCCCTAATAAACTCCATAATTTTGAGTATTTGTGAGTTCTGTGTGGCCACTGCATCGAATTATCAAATCCAGCAGAGAAGCAGTGAGTGCTGTGGGAAAGATGGTTAGTGTCAGAGTTAGTAAAAAGATTGGAGGTGGCGGCATGCCTGGCCCCATAGGAATAAGCCTTGGGCTGTTGATGGTGACCCTTTTTCCCCCTCACAAGATTGGAGGAGGTCAGAAGATGATGCTTCCATGTCCTTTTTGCAATGGCAATGGGTTTTTAATGAGATGGTTATATAACCTTGTGGCTATATAAATACTACCCAATCATATATTTCAAAGGCATAAATTTTTCAAAAGGGTATGTGAATTACACCTCAATTTAAAAAACTGTATGCCTTGTATCTAACATCCATTCACACAGTTTGTCTACTAATTAGAGATTTTCTAGTCTCTTTTGGCCGATAATAAAAGTAATAATAACAACTACTACTTGAGAACAAAAAGAGGAATAAAATTGTCTCTGTCCTCAAACTGCTCACAGTTTCAGTAACAGGCAAACACCTTATAGAACTTGGTACATGCAATGATAGCAATATCCAGAATATTAAGAGTACACTAGAAGAACACTTAATATAGCACAGAAGCAATAAGGTTTTCCAGAAGAGATACTGCCTAAATCTTTCAAAAAAAAAAAAAAAAAGTAGCAATTAGCCAGACAAGTGACAAAGAGAGCTTATCTAACAAATATAAAGATAGTGTAAACAACTATAAATTGCATCTGATGTAACATCGAAAGCTGTCCTCTGCTCTTTTAAAGGTAAGTATCGTAATACTCATTTCACATTTTGGATAACCTACTGTACTTCCTTCCATGTGGAAGACCTACATTTGATTCCCAGTCAGTACACCTTATGTGCAGCCACCATACATCTGTCAGTGGTAGCTTGTATGTTGCTGTGATGTGAACAAGTTTAAGCAGAGCTTCTAGACTAAGACTAGGAAGAAAGCCTTGGTGATCTACTTCAGCAAATGAAACCCTATAGATCACAAGGGAACACTATCTGATCCACAACTGATTGAGGATGGTGCAGGACTAAGCAGTATTTCATTCAAATGTGCATGCAGTTGCCATGAGGTGGGGCTGACTAAATGGGTGCTAACAACAATAACACTGTACTATTGGTAGTTAACATTTAAATGCAGATGCTGTCTTTCCTACTAATTAAAATGTTTCTTAAAGGCAGTAGGTTTATTCTATATATCTATTTGTAGCCCTAGCTTCTACTATGGTATCCAACCCACTGCCATCAAGTCGATTCCAACTCATCACGACCCCCATATGGGGTTTCCAAGGCTGTAAATCTTTATGGAAGCAGACTGCCTCATCTTTCTCTTGCAGAGAGCAGCTGGTAGGTTCAAACTGCTGACCTTTTGGTAGCAATCCAATGCCTTAATCACAGCACCACACAGACCTCCTTCTACTATTGTACTTCCTAGATAATAAATGTTCATTAATAACTATGATTGACGATAACAAAGAAGTGATAAGTAATTGCATCAGCAAAACTAAACCAAAGGCAACTACAGGAGAATTTCATACATTCTTAAAGATGTTTTAGACTACTAATACACAAATGTTTGGGACCTCATTTGAATACCTGCATAGCAGTATTTTCTTCTCTAAGCAGAAGAATTTCAGCTGTCAGAGCATCGATGAGCTCTCGATGATCAACCAATACTTGTTCCAGTTGCTGTCTTGTCTCTACTTCTTTACGCAATTGCAACTCACTCTACAAATAAATGCCAAATACACCTCCATCAGTAGCATCATATGATAAAAGCTAAAAGTCATTACTCAAAGGTATCAAAGAAGATAGTATTGACAATGAAATATATTATGTGACAGTAACGAAAATTAAAAATTTTTATTGAAAAGTTTACATATCATTATACAAATAAAATGTACTGCTTTATCCTCTTTCCTTCTTCAAATAGAATACAATGAACAAAAATAGAATACAACAGAATGGTAAACAGACCTAAAAAACTACAATTTTTTTGTGAAAGAAAGTACAAGGAAATAAATATATACATTTGTTTGAATACACATAGATTATAAGGAGCTCTGGAGGTGTGGTAGTTAAGGTTACATGTTAACTTGGCTGGCCTAGTCCAGTGGCTGGGCAGCTGGATATAGTTATTCCCCACGGTGGAATTGGTAATTAACTCTATGGTGGAATCTAGTGCAGCAGCTGAGTAGCTGCTTTAGGGATGTGAGCTGCTTCCAGTATATAAGAAGCAACTCTGAGAAAGGGCTCCAGCTGATAGCATGCTTGAACCCTGTATGTAGCCGAGTTGTTGTTCAGCAACCTGCCATGTTGCCCTGCTAATCTTGGGACTTTTAATGGACTTGAATTAATGGCCTGCCATGTGGTTTGATAACATCCGGATTATGTCTTTTCACTTGCTGATCTTGGGTTTGTCAGCCTCAGCAGCTAGCAGCTGCCTGAGTGAAGAGATGCCTCTAGCTTCAGTAGGCTGGGAGCAAGAGGCAGAGCTGAAGCCCAAGGTCAAGGGGCTTTCACCCAGCCCCTAGAGCCTGGCACTTTGAACTTGCACTTAAAGCCCTCAAAATTGTAAGCAAATAAACTTTTGTTTGTTCAAGCTATCCCATTTGTGTTATATTCCTGTCAGACAGCACTAGGTAACCAAAACAACTGGTGTAGTGTTTAACACATTCAGCCACTAACCAAAACATTGGTGGTTCAAACCCACCAGTCTCTCTCCAGCAGAAAGATGAGACAGTCTGCTTCTATAAAGATTTACAGTCTTGGAAACTCTATGGGACAGTTCTACTCTGTCCTATAGGGTGGCTAAGAGTTGGAATTGACTCGATGGCAGTGAGTTTTTAGTTTATATAGACTATCTCTAGATACACTGGTATCTGATAATGATAGTTGGCCACAAAGAAGCAAACAGGTTGGAAATTAGGAGCAGCACTACTGTTGCTGTTGTTGTTATGTGCCATTGAGTCGGACCTGACTCACAGAGACCCTCCCTTGGGTTTCCGAGGTGGTATCACTACGGAACTAGGTTGCCCAACCTTCCTTCTGAGGTGTAGCTGGTGGATTTGAACCGCCAGCCTTCTGGATAGAAGTCAAGTGCCTTAGGCACTACGCTACCAGAGCTCCCAGGAATAGGACTAGGATCTTCATTGTACACCATTCTGTATCTTTGAATTTTATGCCATGTGAATGTATCACCTACTCAAAAGTTAAGTTTGTTAAAATATAATTTAAAATAAGTAACTCTAGGTTTAAATGGTTTAGTTCTATAAAGCAAGAGATTAGCTAAAAAGTACATGGTTCTAAGCGCCAAAAGTACACTCTGGGAGATTCCTGACTTAACGGTGGAAGAATATTAAGATTCTTTTAAGTCTAACAGTATAATAAATCTTTAACTGAAAAACGAATTTAAGAAGATAGCACCATGAAGTTGAAACATTTTAATTTCCTTAAACATTTTTGTCATATTTAACTGTATAAAGATTAGCCTTAAAATGATTAAATACATAGTTAACTCTAATTTCACAGCACAGGTACATTAAATATACAATTATTTCTTGTTTTATAAATTGTTGTTGTTGTTATGTGCTGTTGAGTTGGACCAGACTCATAGCGACCCCTCCTTGGGTTTCTGAGGCAGTATCACTACGGAAGTAGATTGCCTGACCTTCCTTCCAAGGAGTGACTGGTGGGTTTGAACCGCCAGCCTTCTGGTTAGCAGTCAAGTGTCTTAGGCACTATGCTACCAGAGCTCCTGTTTTATAAATTATTTTCACAATAAAATACTTCCCACTTAGCCACTGAAGCCAGTCTGCATTACTGGCCATACGGGTAATGTGAAGAATTTTCCCACCTATCAAGTCTATAAATGACAGTCATCCACTCTCCACACTGAACTAATGTGGTAGTGGGATGCATAGAAAAGTCTTAGAATGAGGTGTGGTAGTTAAGTTTGTGTGTCAACTTGGCTGGCTTTGGTTGAATGACTGGGCAGCTGGATGTAGTATATTCCCCATGATGAGACTAGTAATCAACTCCATAGTGGAATCTACTGTGAGCAGCTGAGTTGCTGCCCTAGGGATGTGGTCTGCTTCCTGTATATAAGGAGAAGCCCTGGGGAATGGTCTCCAGCATATGGAATGCTTGGACTCTGCATATAACCGTGTCATTCTTCAGTAGCCTGCCATGCTCTGCTGACCTTTGGACATACAATGGACTTGAATTAATGGCCTGCTATGTGATTTGGTAACATCAGGACTGTGCCTCTTTACTTGTCAACCTTGGACTTGTCAGTCTCAACAGGCAGTAGCTATATGAGTGAAGAAAAGCCTCTAGCTCCAGTGGGCCAGTAGCAGGAGGCAGAGCTGAACCCCAAGGCTGAAAGGCTTTCACCCAGCCCCTAGAGAATGGTACTTTGAACTTGGATTTAAAGCCTCCACATTTTAAGAATAAACTCCTGTTTGTTCAATCCATCCCATTTGTGGTATATTCACGTCAGAGTGGTACTAGGTACCATCTAAGCATGTAGCAAACAAATGGTGGAGGGCAATGAAGAGAATAAACTTTTACTAAAGATATTCTAAAGTGGAGGTATTTTAAACAAAGCTATTCAAGGTTGATTGTACTTTATTCTGAGGTGGCAATAAATTAAATGGAGACATGAAAAAACCCTTCAGACTCTAATGACCTCATGCTCTTACCTCTCTAAGGTACCGAATCAGGCGGCAGAGGGAGCTCACTAGGGACAAAGTGAAGCCCGTGAGACCCTGACTGCTTTGCAGTCCCTTGACCTCGCGTCCTGTCCACCGCTCAAATTCTTCCATCTCGTGTTCCACTTCATCTATCATGTGTTTGAGGACATCCAGGCTGCAATTATTGTTATTTTGTAAATCTGCAGATGTTGTGCTACTTGACAACATGTTTTTCTTTGGCTTGGAAGGAGCACGCAGATCTGGTTTTCTTTTCACTGATAACATTGAAAATAGAAATTATTGTTTTTAAGGCTTGGAAAAAGTAACAAAAACTACTAGAAAAACCTTTTAGACTATTGTCCATAATCTATAAAATATTTTTATAGAAGTTATCACTTTTGTTCCTCATGAAAATCTATGAAGTTTAAATCAGGCTTACATTATCTATAAGTGAGTGTACCAGTACCATTTTCCCACAGAGTTACTTGGGAGGGAAGGAGGCATTTCTTAGCTATGATTAAACAAACTCTTACTTAATTGGATCCAATTTGATGAGTTTAAGGTAAAAAACATTGACTAAGAGCTTAAGATAAAATAACTTCTGGATGGCACAAATGGTTAAGTGCTCAACTAGTAGCCAAAAGGTTGGTGGTTCAAACCCACTGGAGGCACCTCAGAAGACAGACCTGGCAATCTGCTACACATAGGTCATAGCCTTGAAAACCCTATGAGTAAAGTTCAACTCTGCACATACAGGGTTGCCATGAGTTAGAACTGACTCAAACAACAACAAAGATGAACACAGCTCTATCAGATTAGATGTTTTAATAATTCATCTTTGTAAATTAAGGAACTAAACCTTTATTTAACAGCTGTTTTGGCTTCCTGGGGTTCAGTACTTGTCCCACAACATAGCTTGAGTCTACAGCCTCAGAAGATTCTTCAGGCTGAAGTCTCGTGTGGATTCTCTTGACAGCATTGGTAGCATTCAGAGCACCTAAAAGGAAGAACATTTCCAAAAATATTTCATCTCAAGGGAATAAGAAAAAAATTTAAGTATTTCAAGCAATAGATCCACGAGTATTTTACTCAACTAGGCTAGAATAGTCGAAATTCAACAGTACTTTAAAAAACCTACTGTGTTCAGGAAAGACTAAAAAAGTAGACTAGTATTTTGAGAAACAACACAAAGGAAAAACAGACCTCTTTGATCACCTGATGGAGTGGCAGATAATGGAGAGCATAGAGGTGTTCTCTGTGACTGTGTTGCTATTTTCTGCTGAATATCTGTCCACAGTTTATTAATTAACTCAGAATTTTCTTCTTTTAGTTGGTGAAGAAACCTATAAAACATATGACAGTGAGGTATATTAGAGCCATGGTGGTTAAAGTGCTCATCTGGTAACCAAAAAATCAGTGATTTGAACTCACCAGCTGCTCCATGAGAGAGAAACATGGCAACAATCTGCTTCCGTAAAGATTGAAAAAAAACACAGCCTTAGAGACCCCATGGAGCAGTTCTACTCTGTCTGCTAGGGAACTGTGAGTCAGAATTGACTTGACAGCAACAGCAACAGGATCATTTAAATTGTTCAACTGCTTATGTGTTTGATTTGAAGGAGTTTTTAATAATTCATAATGAAAAAGGAAACTTTTCACTTTAACTGGTAAGACAGATGGTCAAAATGTCTGTCATCTTCATGTTAGAAGGAATCATTCTGACTCCTTTCCAGTTCCCTCCCTACCTTGGCCTCTGAAGTAAGAGCTTTTGCCCTTTCTGAGGTATTGGGGCACTCTCTCCATCCTCCTCTCTTTCCTTACAGAAAAGAAACTAAATATTTATGAATCAGCCTATTCTGGTTTCTCTATCCTACAAATGAGCCTGTGCTCAGAGCACAGCCAGTCTATGCTCATCACTGACACATTTACTGGGGCAGAATCTGGCCCTATTGGGTGATGAGGTGGGGCTCGGATCAAAGGAGCTTCAGTTTTAGGAGGTTCATATCTACAAGCTCTTTGATTTGAAAGCTTACATACACCATAAACAACTTTATCATTGACAAAGCTGGTATTTTCATCTTCAACTGTCTGATTTATTTATCTGTTATTCAACTGAATTGAGACTTAAAAGAGGTAGGTGTTCAAAAAGCAGAAGCAACCCAAATGTCTATCAACAAAGGAATGAGTAAATACAATGGAATATATCTATACAATGGAATATTATTCAGCAATAAAAAAGAAATGAAGTACTAATAAATATTACAGCATGAATGAACCTTGAGAACATTATGCTAAATGAAAGAAGCTCAGCATAAAAGACCACATATTGCATGATTCTATGCATATAAAATATCCAGAATGGGCAAATCTGGACTTTTTTGCCTATAGATACAGAAAGGAAGGTAAGTGGTTGCCTAGGGCTGATGAAGTCGGGGGAAAAGGGATGGGGTGACTGCTGAAGAATATGGAGTTTCTTTATAGGGTGATGAAAATGGTCTAAAATCAATTGTAATGACAGCCATACAACACTGCTGATAACACTAAAAACCACTGAATATTACACTTTAAATGGGTAGATTGTATGCCATTTCAGTAAAGCTGTTATAAAAATATTTCAAAGAGGAAGGGGAGAATTTTACTGAGTAGCCCCACAAACCTCAACTTAAAGGAGTTGCTTTCAAGAAACCTACAGACAGCACACTGGGACACTAAGGTACATGATGCAGTGATTCAAAGGAGGCTAGTTAATACAAGATCAGAAAGACTCCTTTGTAAGATAGTATTAGCTCTAAACCCATCCTTCAGGATAAATTCCAACAAGAGTATTATAATGAGGTTTCTGTACAAATTGAAAAACTAAACATAAATCAGCCTGAAACTTACATCACTGTCTCTAATCTCCATTCTTTTAAGAGTCAAGTTATATGAAACATAATAACAACAAAATAATACAATACCACCTGTTATAGGCTAAATAATAGCCCCAAAATATATGCCTACATCCTTATCCAGTGAACTTATAAATGTCACATTATATGACAAAATAGGGGGCTGTGCAAATGGAATTAAGTTAAGAACCTTGAGATGGAGAGATTATGCTAGATTATTAATGTGAGCCCTAAATGTAATAACATGTATCCTTATAAGAGGGAAGTAGGGAGAAATTGTAACAGACACACAGAGAAGGAGCCATGGAAAGGTGAAGGCAAGATTGGGGTGGTAAGGCCACAAACCAACAGAATGCCAACAGACACCAGAAGCTAGAAGAGTCAAGGAACAGATTCTCCTCTAGAGCATCTAGAGGGGATATGGGGATTCTGACACCTTGATTTTGGTCCAATGCAACTGATTTCTGATTTCTGCCTCCAGAACTATGAAATAATAAATTTCTATGTTTTAAGCCACCAAGTTTGTGGTAAATTATTACAGCAACCTCAGGAAACTAAACTTCACCTTAAATTATCAGGCAACTTTCATTAAGAAAAGTTCAAAGTACTTTCTATATATTATTCTTTATAAGGAAAGATGGATTTTGGCTCAAACCAAAGAATACCAGAAAGATGTTTACTTGTGTTTTATTGACTATGCAAAAGCATTCAATTGTGTAGATCATGACAAATTGTGGATAACACTGAGAAGAATGGGAATTCCAGAACATTTAATTGTACTCATGAGGAACCTGTACATAGATCAGGAGGGTGTCGTTCAGATAGAACAAGGGGACACTGCATGGTTTAAAATCAAGAAGGGAGTGTGTCGGGTTATATCCTTTCACCACACTTAGTCAATTTCTACACTGAGCAAATAATTCAAGAAGCTGGACTATAGGAAGAACGTGGCATCAGGATTTGAAGAATAATCATTAACAACCTGTGATACTTCGACGACACAACTTTGCTTGCTGAGAGTGAGGATGACTTCAAACACTTACTGATGAAGATTGAAGAATACAGTCTGCAGTGTGGATTACACCTCAATACAAAGAAAACAAAAATTCTCATAACTGGACCAATAAACAGCATCACAATAAATGGAAAAAAGACTGAAGATGTCAAATACTTCATATTACTTGGTTCTACAATCAACACGAATGGAAGGAGCAGTCAAGAAGACATCAGACAACATATAGAACTGGGCAAATTGGCTGCAAAAGACCTCTTTCAAGTGCTGAAGAGCAAAGATGTCTCCTTGAGGACTAAGGTGTACCTGACACAAGCCATGGTATTTTCAATCACCTCATATGCATGTGAGAGCTGGACAATGAATAAGGAAGACCAAAGAAGAATCAATGCTTATGAGTTGTGGTACTGGCAAAGAATACTGAAAATACCATGGACTACTAAAAGAACTAACAAATCTGTCCTGGAGGAAGTGTAGCTGGAATGCTCCTTGGAAGCAAGAGCAGCCAGACTTCATCTCACCTACTTTGGTCATACTGTAAGAAGAGACCATTCCCCAGAGAAGGATATCTTTCTTGCTAAAGTGGAAGGTCAACGAAAGAGGGGAAGGCCCTCAACAGGATGGACTGACACAGTGGCTGCAATGATGGGCTCAGGTACAGCAAGGATCGTGGAGCCGGCACAGCACCAGGCAGTGTTTTGTTCTGCTGTACATAGGGTCCTTATGAGTCAGAGATGACTCGATGGCACCTAACAACAACAACAATGAGGAAAAAAAGTCCTTCTGTCTTTCTTAGATCTGGAACTCTGTTTTATTCTATTTTACTTACTTTGGGCAATTATTTAATTGAAATTCAAGCTGCTTCTATTTTCACTGATGACCATTTATTAACACTCATTCTATTTTATGGCATCATCAATTACAGTAAGATTCTAAGGACATCATTTAATAGATAACTCAGCAATATCAGCATCCAATGTACATTCTTAATATACAAATCCCCATCCAAAGGAAGTTGCCCAAGCCTATGGGAATTTTCCTTCTCATTCAGTTGTTGCCATTTATAAATTCTTAGTCTCAATTTTTTTCCTCTTTTCTTGCTATGGTTACCTTTACCACCACCTTTTCCTCTCTCAACCCTAGCCTTGTTTCTCCTACACAAATGTCTATAGAGCAAGTATGGGAATGACAAAGGAAAAGCGAAGTAAATACTTCCAATCATGACTCCCTTTCTCTAGATGCACTGGCTCCAGACATATCAATGTCCTAAGTAGAGGCTTTTATGGATTGGGCTAAAAACCTAATTATCATGTATAATATATCCTCTATGAGAAATTTTGTTCAGATTCATAGGAGCATGTATTCAAATTAAAAAACAACTTAAGAGATCATATACTATACCCCTCATATTTCACAGCTGATGACATAAAGACCCACAGAAAACCTAACTAGTAAATAACTAAGGCCTTAGCCTTCAGATTCTAACATATCTTCAAAAACCTCACACAAAATAGCTGAAAAATAATGTTCAGAGGCATAAGAGATTCAAAAGATGGTAACTGCCTGTTAACACACCTAAAGAGAGAAATTAACATTAACCAACCAAATAAAAGTACACTTTTGAAAAATTCAAATGTAAAGAATAAAAACAATTAATTATGTACAAAATTATTCACATTTAGGTTCTGATAGAAAAAAGCTTAAACGATGACACATATTTCCAAGTATTTCAAAGAAAATGGTAATTGGCTAAATGTAAATTACTCCATATATCACTCAAAATACTATACAGTTCAGTAAGAGCAAATAAAATAGCACATGACTCACACTATCTACATTACTGGAAGCCAGAAAATACTAGTAACTTCCAATTACCTATAAGTAGAAAACGAAATACCAAATTCCAGCACAAGCTCCTGCCCTGAGTGTTTTCAGAGAGAACATCAACATGACAGCACAGAAAAGAGAGTGACAATATGAGTGAAAAAATCATCAGAAAGAGAAAATTCACTCTAAGTGTGCAAATGCTTAACAATAAGACCTGGAAGATCAGAATCCTGACTACAGAGAAGGAGCCCGAAAGTGTGCAAAACCCAAAGTCTTGGAAAGGTATCACTTCTTGGGGAGAATAGAACAAGAAGAAAGAGATACCTTTTGTGATTGAAAAATGAAGAGAAAAAGAATCATGAGTTTTAAGACAAAAGAGAGCAATACTGGAGAACAAACCACCTTTCACTTATGAATACTTACCCCACCCCCCAAAACAACATGCATTATGCATTAAATAAATTGTGCTTCATTGCAACTGACAGGAGAGTACTCTTGAACTAAGAAGCACTCTTGAAGAATCTTATAAAAACCAAACCAGTTGCCATCAGGTTGATTCTGACTCACAGTGAACCCATGTGTGTCAGAGTAGAAATTCAAATGTGCTCCATAGAGT